GATATGCCGAATTACTTGATTAGGAGGATGGTCTCTTAACCATGTCAGATCAGGTTCTGTCAGTTGTTGTCTAGGTCTTTCTTGTTCTTCATCTTCTGAGTCTTCATCTTCATTCAACAGAAGGGGGTTTGGTGCAGGAGTTGGAAATGCAGGGTTGTCTGCTACCTCTTCTGTTGGTTCTGGTGCTTTGTCTTCTATGCTGACTTCCTTGAGGATCTCTGTTACTTCTTTAACAGAGGTGCTTTCATCAAACTTCACATGTATAGATTCTTCAACATGTAGGGTCGTTCTGTTGAGTACTCTATAGGCCTTACTAGTGTTTGAATAGCCTATAAAGATACCTTCATCAGCCTTCTCTTGAAAGACTTTCAGATGCTCCTTTCCATTGTTAAGAATGTACCACTTGCATCCAAACACATGAAAGTAGTTGATGTTGGGTTTCCTTCCTTTCCAGAGTTCATAAGGGGTCTTCTGGTGATTCTTGTTGATCATGCTTCTGTTCTGAGTATAGCATGCAGTGTTGATGGCTTCAGCCCAATATCTCATAGGTAGACCAGATTCTGCAATCATTGTTCTTGCAGCTTCTTTTAAAGTTATGTTCCTCCTTTCTGCTACGCCATTCTGTTGAGGGGTTCTGGCGGAAGAGAGTTGATGAAAGGTTCCATTTTGATCACAGAAGTCCTTTATGACTTGGTTGACAAATTCAGTTCCTCTGTCAGACCTGATTGTCTTAACCTTCAAGTTCTTCTCAGTCTGAAGTTGCTTTAACAGAGATGGCAACTTCTGAAGAGTTTCATTTTTCTTTGACAGAAAGATAGTCCATGTATATCTGGAATAGTCATCAACCATGACTAGGGTGTATTTCTTGCCACCAACGCTTGGAGTTTCAACAGGTCCAAATAAATCCATGTGGATCAGATTTAGAGGACTTGTAGAGAGATATCCAGCAATGGGTTTGAAGGAGTTCTTCTGTTGCTTTCCCTTCTGGCATGCACTGCAGAGGGTCTCTCTCTTGTAGACTATGTCTGGAAGTCCATCAACAATGTGTTCTCTTGCCAGTTTGTTGATTGTTTTGAAGTTCAAATGGCTAAGCTTCTTGTGCCAGTCCCAGCTTAGTTTTGAATCTCCCTTGGCTATCAGGCAAACTCCATCCTTTGCTGTGTTCCAATCAACCACATAGATGTTCTTCTTCCTTGATGCTGTAAGAACCACTTCCTTTGTTGTCTCATGTTTCACATAGCAGAAGTCCTTTGTGAATTCAACAGTGTAGCCTTTGTCACAGAATTGGCTAGCACTCAGCAAGTTGAACTTCAGTTCTTTGACATATGAGACATCATCAATGACTATCTGGTTCTTGATCAGCTTTCCTCTTCCTTTTGTTTGACCTTCTTTGTCATTACCTCCAAAGGTAACTCTAGGTCCTTTGCATTTCTGGAACTCAGTTAGGCAACTTCTGTCACCTGTCATGTGCCTGGAGCATCCACTATCAATAAACCATTCTTGCTCTTAGATAGCTCCAGCACATAGTTCCTGTAAGATCAAAAGAAAGATTTAGGTACCCAAGCAATGCTGGGTCCTGGGGGGTCATGGAGTCTGGGTAGTTGGTACCATTTTGGTCTCATCAGGTGAAACCTTGGTGGGTGGTACCCATTGTCCACCTGGTAGTTATAGTAAACTGAAGTGTGATTCACTTTGGGCAGATGCTTGTGAGGGTCATGCTTCCTGTTTACATACTTTTGCATAGCTTTCTTTGTTGGAAAGAAGCCCCATATACTATCAAGAGCAGAGGGACGGTTAGCTTTGGGCTTCTGAAGTTGACCAGCCAGCCTCTTCTGCCTAAAGTTAACTCTCTCTTGATATTTGCCATTCTGGTGATCATTTCTGGCACGATTGTCATTAGGTTGTCTGTCAATGAATGGTCTCTTATTTTTGTTATCTTGAGAACCTTTTCTGTTGTTAGGTTTTCTGCCAGGTTCATTATTTTTCAAAAAGGATTTCTGTTGAACCTTTATCTTTCCCTTTTCTGGTCTGACTTCCTCATGAACAACCTTGGTGCCAGATACACCAGCTTGACAAATGGGGCTAGAAATCAGTGGCACTATGACCTTATCTGCCATAGCAACACAGGTGCTAGGCATTACAGAAGGCTCACCTGATTCTGTTGAGCCATAACCAAGACCAAAACCAGTGCCAATCTGTTGATCAAGTACAATCTTTTCCATGGAAGACTGGGCCTTCTGGTATGCTTTGTACTTAATCTCGAGAGGCTCTATTTCTCTTATTCTCTTGAAAAGAGAAACATTTTCAGTCTCCAGCTGATCTCTTTCCTTAATTAGAAGATTGATTTTGATCTCAACCTCCTTTTTCAAGTCAAGAATTTCAGCTTTCAACTTACTGTTTTCTTCTGTTACAGAGGAATAAGTGGCTTGGATGGCTTTAAACTCTTCCCAAAATTCTGACATTGAATCAGAATCAAAAGCTAAGCCTACCGAAGAAAAGCTAGATGTAGAAGTAGAGGTTACCTCATCATCAGAATGAGCCATGAGGCATAGGTCTTCTATCTCAGTATCAAGGCAACAGAAGGCCTCATCAGAATCTGAGTCAGATTTGGATTCTGTCTCTGACAGAGGGTCTTTCTCGAGCTGTTCTGTCACAAGTGCCTTTCTCCTTCTGGAGTTGTCTTCATACTTCTTCTTTTCTCCATCATGCCCTTGTTTCTTGGACACTCTTGGGTGTGGACATTCTGCTTTGAAATGTCCAGGTTGTCTGCCGTTGTAACATAGAAGCTCACCACTGCTTTATGTTGTTTTGACCTTCTGGAATGGCTTTCTGCTGAATGATGGACTTTTTCCATCTTTGGGATTCTTCATGAACTTCTTCAATCTCATAGCAAAAGCAGCCATATATTCGTCAGATAAAAGTACTGAAGGGTCAAAATCATTTACCTTTGATGTGCTGGCAGTGAGGGCAGTAGTGGTCCTCTCTTCTGGTACATCTTCCCTTTCTTCAATCATTTCAAACTCATGAGCTTTGAGATCTGAAATGAGCTTATCAGTGGGATAAGTCTTTACATCCTTGTTGGCTTGGACAGCAACCACCTTCATCTTCCATGCTGAGGGCAGTCCCCTCAACACCTTAAGGTTGATCTCCTTGGTGGTGAGTTCCTTGCCAAGCTCAGAGATCTCTCCAGTGAGAGTGAGGAGCCTGTCATACATCTTGGAGATGCTTTCACCAGGGAGAAGTTTGAAGTCATCAAACTTCTTGTTGGATATTGTTAGCTTGTTGTCCTTCTCTTGCTCATTACCAGCTCCAATGAGCTCAAGAGTATCCCAGATTTCCTTTTTTGTTTTGCACTTCTTTATTCTGTTGAAGTACCTATCATCGATGGACTTGTAAAGAATGTCCTTAGCAATGTTGTCCAGATTGTACTTCCTTCTTTCTTCAGTGGTCCACTCAGATTTGGCCTTATTGATCATCTGAGGTCTAGTGTTATCAATAGCATGTTCAGGGTTGACCTTCTGGAAGCTTGTGAAGGGTCCTATGTCAAGTACTTCCCACATCTCATCATGAAGAGCACAGAGATGTGCCTTCATCCGGATCCTCCAGTCATCAAACTTAAGATCTGAAAACATAAGATTCTTGGACAAGGAGTGATCCATTATATCAGATAAAAATGAGATAAAACAGAAAAACAAGTGGATCTTTGTTCAGCAAATAACCTAAGAGATTATTAGAACAAGGAGGCTCTGATACCACTTGTTGGTCCCGGTTGTAACAAATCCTGACATAGTGGCATAGGCAGAATACCACTAATCAGCTTCCATTGGAACAATCTGATTTGTAGGGGAAGTTTAGGATTCCAAAGGTGTCTGTAAGTAAAGAGTGTGGCTTTGTCCTCCCTAATTGACTCATAAGCAGATTTAAAAGAAAACCTACCATCAACTTCAGGTTCCCAGATTAGATTCCCATTAATGTCTTGACTGCAGAGAGAGCTTGCAAATTCATCAATACCACAAATTCTTCTCCAAATAGGAGAATCAGACACCTTAGGCACCATGTTAGAACCTCTAGTATATCTAGCTCTCATGAAATGACCCCAAATTGATTCACTATTCTTTCATTTCCAACAAAGCTTTAGAGTAAAAGCCTTTTCAATATCTGTAAAATTCCTAATTCCCAATCCACCTTCATTTGTTGGGAAGCACAAATCAGTCCACTTAATCCAATGATACTTATTCTTTATAGTCGAGGATCCCTAGAAAAATGCAGACATTTTGCGCTCCAGTATATTTATAATTTTCCTAGGCAGCCTGTCAGCAGCTAGAACATGGAGAGGATAGTATTTAACACATGTTTAATGAGAATTAATCTGCCACCCATAGATAAATTTTTCCGTTTCCAATTTGAAAGCTTAGAGTCAAACTTTTTAATGATATCCGGTCAGTTGCATTCATTCCCAGCAAGTTGGCCATAATTCCAGATCTGGCTTTTCTACCACATAAAAAGGTACTCTTTTGTAAGTTGATTGACTTTCCAGAAGCAAATTGATAGGATTTAAGAAATCTACCAAAGTTCACAAGAGACCTAGAACCCCCATTAAGGAAAATCAATAAGTCATCAGCAAATCCTAAATGGGATATGGGGTATCCAACTGAACCCATCCAATAAGGTTGAATAAGACCTTGCTCCATATGCCATTTAAGTCCGCTAGAAAAAGCTTCAGATGCTAGAATATACAGAAATGGTGAGAGAGGATCACCCTGCTTCACCCCTCTCTTGGGCTTAAAAAAACCAGTGGGAATACCATTGATAAGAATAGACATGTAAGTAGCTCTCAGGTTATTCAAAATAATGTGAATGAACCTTTGAGAAAAACCAAACTTATTAAGAACACCCTCAATAAATTTCCAAGATAATCTGTCAAATGCCTTAGCCATGTCAAGCTTAACAAAAACATTTGAACCTCTGACCTTTTTCTCAAGTAAATGAACCATTTCCTGGGCAATTAAAACATGATCAACAATATCCTTGTTATTCATAAAACCAATCTGTTCAGGTGAAATAAGCTTAGGTAAAATAGATGACAGCCTGTCAACAAGAATTTTGGTACACACTTTACTGATGAAATTGGATAGACAAATTGGTCTGAATTCACCAAATGAAGAGGGATTATCCACCTTGGAAATCAAAACCACCAAGCTGCTTGCAACCCCTCTAGGAATAGGGATGCCCATAAAAAATTCCTGAATAGCCCTGACCAAATCATCCCCAATAATATGCCAACACTTTCTAAAAAATTTCCCATTGAAACCATCTGGGCCTGGAGCACTGTTTTGATCAAGTTTCCACACTGCTGTTTTGACTTCATCTTTATCTGGCAAGTTAATCAGCATGTTGTTATCCTCTTCTAAAACCAGGTGAGGGATAAACTTCAAAATCTCAGCTGCATCAATATCTGGATCCACAGAGTATAGGTCAGAGAATAAAGTTATGGCTGCATCACCAATATCTGCCTGACTGGTAACTTCCTCCCCTCTGCTATTATTAATTGTAGTGATAGAATGTTTTCTGTGCTTAGTTTGAACATAAGAATGGAAATGGTTGGTATTGGCATCACCTTCCTTGAGCCATTTGATATTGGCCTTTTGATTCCAATACTTTCTTTCCAATTTATGCTTAGCAGCAAAAAGAGCTCTAAAATGTTGCCAATTTTCTATATTTTCTTCACTTGGACAGCTTTCAAAGAGTCTTTCAGCTTTCATAACCTGATCTTCACAAACCTTAATATCCTCAAAAAGATTCCCAAAGGTATTTCTGTTCCATAATTTAAGATCCAGCTTTAATTGCTTCAGTTTATGAACAAAGCCCCTCATGCCACCATAGGTATCAATGGCATCCCAACTCTTCTTCACAGTGTCAAGAAAGGTAGCATGATGGGTCCACATATTCTGAAATTTAAAGGGTTTAGGATAACAAGTACCTTCAACAAAGCATGCAATAAGTAGTGGACTGTGATCAGATGGGGTTTTTTCCAACACATCCACCAAAATTTTCTTAAAAGAATCACTCCATCTAGAATTAAATAGGAATCTATCCAATCTCCTCCAAACCCACCCATTAGATCTCACTCCAGCCCAAGTGAATAGTGGTCCATTGTAGTTAGGAGAGATCAGATTACATGCAGCTATACAATCTGAGAAATCCAGAATACTACTCAAATTAGGCATGGACCTCCCTTTGTGTTCACTATGTGATGCAATAGCATTAAAATTACCCCCCCAGTAGCCAAGGATCTGACATATTGCTAGAAATAGAACTCAACTCATTCCACAATTCTCTTCTGCACAAAGGGTTATGCTTACCATAAATCACTGTAAGCCAACCATGAAAACTATCTCTGTTAATCTTCATATGAACAAATTGTAAGTGCCAGGAAATATCTGACAGAGCAACCTGATCTGGGTCCCAGTAAATCCAAATCTTATTATGAGAAGAGTGTAAAACATTAGACATACCAAAACATTTCTTTAAAGAATCAGCCTTAGAAGAATTGACCATAGGTTCAATAACTACTAGGATATGGATATGCCATTGCCTGATTAAAGAACATAACCTGGCTGCAGCAGAATCCAACCCCCTTACATTCCAAACCAAACAATTCATTAAGAAAGATTGGATAATTTTTGAGAAGCCACAGAACTGATACTACAATCAGATCCTGACACTACTGACCCTTTTTTCTTTTTTGCAGCATTCCTTGTAATCCTGGGAGCACTATCTGCTATGTCTCTTCTTTTGCTCTTTCTGCTGCTGACTGTGATAAACTCATTAGTCTCAGAGGCTTGTTCCATTTGCAAATCATTATCAACAGGCTGGGATTCATTCCTTGATTCTTCTAGAACTTGATCATCAGCTAACTCCAGCTTTGTAGCCATTGCCTCCACCTTATTTTTTATATCCTGCCAATCAACTAGCCAATTAAGTAAAGGTTCCTTGATGTTTTCTGTCTCTCCATCAGAGTAGTATTCCTTAGTCACCAATTCAGGATCATAATCCATCTGCTGTTTCATAGGAATGAGGAGAGCATCATCCTTAACTGAGCTAATAATTGAGTTGTGTACAATACCCTTGACTGACTTATTAAGAAGCTCCTTAATTTCTTCTTTGTTTGATGTGTTTGCAGGCTTCTCAATGGTTCCAGGAAATGGTTCATGGTAAACCTCCTCAGTATCTATATCATCCTCAACAAAATTGGAAGTGATTTCCAACTGAGATTGTTGCTTGGAAGATGAAGGTTGATCATAGATAATCAAAGCATTGCTCATCACCCTATTGGCTTCCAACTGAGGAGCTGTATTTTTTATTTTATCACTGATTGTAACTCCTTTACCTTTTTCCAAAGCTGTAAATTTCTGCGCAGTAGGTTTAGTACCAGTTTTTTCAACTCACTTATTCTTAGGTGCAGGAATAGGTTTGATCATCTCCGGTTGGAGAGCTGCCTGCATAGGAGTTTGGTTGTGTATTATATTGATTGTCTGATTGGATTTAGGGCACTTAGCTGCATTATGACCCAAATGAAGGCAACCTTATATTTAAATATATCTTCTGTTTTATATTTAAATGCATTTTCATATATTATTTATGTTCTAGATACTATTAAAAATTGCACTAACAGAACTATATATGTTGCACCTTTTTAGTATCATAATTGCACCATAATGTCTGTGCAAATATTTTTGAAAGTGTGAGAGAATAATGCACTTTTATATATATTTAGATGCACATGTTTAAAGTGCAACCATTTTGGGTAAAAAGTGTCATGTTTTTTTTTTGTTTTTTGTTTTTATACTCCGGAAGGCAAACCACCAAAATCGGTGGGGCAAACGCCGGAGGAACGCTTGCCAGGATATTATTAAAAATCAACGATTACGAGAGAGGGGGACCAAACCAAAACCTCCCAGTATAAAAGAAGGAAAAGAGTATAAGGAAAAAATTAATCACGCAAATTCGGGATGCCAAAAAGATCTGCATAATAGCTATTTTTTACATTAATCGGTAGATGGCCCAATCTGTCAAACCGAACAATTTGGACCGATTCCAACATCTGTCCTGCGAGTAAATGGGCCGGCCCATTACCTTGTCTCAAAACATGCCCAAATCTATAACCTCTGTCTGTTGCTCTCCTCCTGAACCTTCGAATCCCTATGTGCTTTCCTGAATCGTCATAGAGAACCGAAAGCGAAAGAGATGCATCCGTTTCTACTTCGACGTCAACAAAGCCCTCCTCCATCGCCATTTCCGTAGCTACCATCAAAGATTCAAGCTCCACTTCCTCACTTGACATCGATCTCAGACGAAAGCTCACCGCCCAGACGAAATAGCCATCTTTGTTTCTCAGGATGGCTCCACCCGTAGCTCTATCAGGTATGTACGAGGCATCAACATTCAATTTGTAACTCATACCAGGTCTTTTCCATTTAATTATTTGCGGACCTGTTCTTCTGAATTTGAATCTGGCTGAGATTAAACCTTCTTGGATTAAAAAACCGTCCACCTTCCTGCTTTTGATAATAGCAAGTTTGACTGCCCATTGTCGTGTGAAAATCTTAATCTGAGAAATGAGCCTTTCTGAATCTGGAATAGGTTTCTCATCCCATTTATACGCCGCATAAGTCTTCCATAAATACCAACTAACGATGCCAGGCAAATTATGTTTAAATATGTCAGCCAAGGTTTTAGAACCAGCCTCTAACCACCAATGAATCAGAATCTGTCTATTAGAAGGAAAATTAGACATAGAAATGCCAAAAATACTCATGAAGTGTTTCCAGATTTTTTGTGTGTAAGAACACCCAAAGAAAATATGATTGGTGGTTTCACTGCACTTCCTACAGAAAGGACACATAGAGGGTTGTATTGCAATCTGGAATTTCTGTAGGATGTCTGGGATTGGCAAGTAGGAGTTCATGAGCTTCCACATAAAAACCTTGATCTGCATTTGTTGATGTTTATTCCATATGTGCTGATTAGTGAATATAACTGACCTTGTCTCTCTAATTTCATTGTATGCAGAGGCCAAGGTAAATATGCCATGTTTTCCAGGATCCCATTGCATAATACCATTCTCATTGAAAGAGACCAGGTCAGTAGCCATCTCATTAATATCACACAGTCTCCTCCAAACAGAAGAATCTGTTACTTTAGGTAGCATATTCACTCTAGGGTATTTAGCCTTAATAAAAGCAGTCCAAAGAGATTCATGATTTTTCCATTTCCACCATAACTTTAAACTAAAGGCTTTTTCAACATCATTAAGAGATCTCACCCCCACACCACCTTCCTCAACTGGAAAGCAAATTTTAGACCATCTAGCCCAGTGAATTTTTTTATTATCAACAGTGGAACCCCAAAGGAAAGATGCCATTTTCTTCTCCAATGTAGAAATAACTTTTTTAGGAAGCTTATATGTGGCCATAATATGATTAGGAATAGTATTCAAAACATATTTGATCAGAACAAGTCTCCCCCTTGGGAAAGGTTCTTCAGCTTCCAAGAAGAAAGCTTAGAATCAAAGTGATGAATTATATGAGTACAATACCGATACCTATTCCTTCCTTTATGCAGGTTAGCTCCCAAATACTTCATGGGCAGATTGGATGTTCTCATCCCCAGAATGTTTTGCATCACAGAAGCTCTGTAAGTAGCATTTTTCCCAGTAATAAAGCTATTCTTCTCCAGGTTAACAGTTTGTCCTGAAGCAGACTGATAATCTTTAATAAATTGTTTAAAGTTAGCTAAAGATCTAGCATCACCATTAATAAAAACCAACAAGTCATCAGCAAACCCCAGATGACTGATAGGGAGCCCTTGATTTCCCATCCAAAAAGGTTTAATAAGCCCCTGCTCGATTCTTGTCTTTAGACTTCTAGAGAAACCTTCGGATGCCATTATAAAAAGAAAAGGGGATAAAGGATCCCCCTGTTTCACACCCCTCTTGGGTTGAAAAAACCCTTGGGAACATCCATTAATCAAAATAGAGAGATAAGTAGATTGTAGGTTATTCCTGATAAGAGAAATGAACTTACTGGAAAACCCAAATCTGCCCAAGATCCCAAACAGATAGTCCCAAGACAGTTTATCAAAAGCCTTAGCCATGTCCAATTTGATAATCACATTTGACCCTCTAGTCTTCTTATCAATAGCATGCACCATCTCTTGGGCAATTAGAATCTGGTCAGAAATGTCCCTTCCTTGAACAAATCCTACTTGTTCCTCAGAAATAATTTTAGGCAACAATTTTAATAATCTGGAAGCCAGCACCTTAGTACAAATTTTATTGGTGAAGTTGGAAAGACAGATAGGCCTAAAATCAGAGAAAGAAATGGACAAATCACACTTTGGAATAAGAACAAGCATAGAACTAGAGAGACCTTTAGGAGGAGGAACACCAATGAAAAATTCTTGAACTGCCTTCACCACATCCATCCCAACAATCTGCCAACATTTTTTGAAGAATTTTCCATTAAAGCCATCAGGGCCTGGAGCCCCATTTTGATTTAATTCCCAGATAGCCTTTCTAACCTCTTCTTCTGTAGGAATAGCAGTCAGATGGTCATTGTCCTCCTGATTGATAAGTTGTGGAATATTATTCAAAATGTCATTACAAAGTGTCATGTAAATATTTAGAAAGTGTGATATAGTAATGCACTTTTATATATACTTAAATGAACATAATAGTATACCTTTGTAGTGCACATGAAAGTATAATATTTTCATTTGGTTTAATGATTTTGTTTAGAAAAAGTGCAATTCAACAAAAGTACAAATTAGTATAAGAAAGTACATATCAGTATAATAAAAATGCTATTTCTCTTTATATTTGCTTCGTTGATGAATGATGTTGATTATTTAAATTACTATAATTGCAAAAACAAATACTTCCTCCGTTACATAAAAGTTGCAACATTGGAATATCTGCACTATTCACACACCTTACTTTGACTACGATTTTCTAATAATATATATAATAAAAATATTGTGTATAAAATACTAATAAATTTGTATTAGTGTAAATTTCCAATATATTAACTTTTTTAATGTTTACTAATACGTAAATAAATATAATTACAGTCAAAGTTGCGCGTTGGCAAACGTGAAAGTCAAACTGTTGCAACTTTTATGGAACAAAGGATAATATTTAATTTACAAGAGTGTAGATTATTATAATAATAGTGCTGTAACACCCCGGCCCCGTAGGCCCTGAGGTAGTTACTTCTGACCAATAGTACTATCCTCACAAACCGCCACTAGCCTTTTCCGCGCACTTTGTCCTCACTCGTGCGCGCCCTGAGAAACTTCCCAGGGGGTCACCCATCCCAAGACTACTCCCGTGCAAGCACACTTAACTTTGGAGTTCTTGGGTGATGAGCTCCCTTAAAAGGAGATGCATCTTGTTGGTATGAGCTCCCTTAAGTGATGAGCTCACTTAGTACCAATTTGTAACACCCCTTAAATTCCCGTTTTTCCGGCGACTTGGTGGAGAAGACGACCCAGCCAAGGCTGGGGTCTGTCTTGGGCCTGATTTTTTTGGGCCAGAATAATTTAATTTGGGCCAGTTCGGCCCAGTTGCAATAAAAATTAAAAATAAAATAGTAAATGAAATAAATAAAATCTGTAAAAATATAAATTAAATACCTAGTATAATCATACATATTCGGACCAACCAGAATTGGAAAATAATATTTTTAGCTATTTTTAATTGATTTAATGGTAATTGGGCCAATTTATACACATTTAGTAAATAATTAACTAAATAACGAAAATAATTATGAAATAAATATTGGAGTAAACTAAGATAAATATATGACTAACTAGGACCTTATGGACCATTTATAATTAATAAATATTAAGATTTAGTATATTTAATTGTAATTGAACCGGTTAATAGATATATGAAATTAAAGGAATAATTATGGAAAATAATTATAAAATAGATATCTGGACAACCTAGGTCGAATATAGACCCAAAATATATTTATGGACGGTTACTAATTTATGTAGTCGATTCTTAGTCTATTTATTTAAATTAGGCCATATAAAACTAGTTAAGTAATTAAATAAGGAAATATTAGTATTAATGGTGAAATAAATAAATCACTGAGGTTGAAAAATAATATTCTGGACTAAAAATAATGTTTGAATAAAATAAGGAAAATAAATATATTCGGTTATGTAAATAAAGTAATTAGATAATAATTAGAGTAAATTAATGGTGATTATTGAATAAAAATTGGATGTTGTAGTTAATTATATTCGGATATTTTATTTAATATTAGAATTAAAATATTGTAATTAATGGCTGAATTCATAAGGTAATTTGATTAATAAAAAGTGATTAATAAACCAAAGTTTATGCGAATAATAAAATAAAAGGAGAAAATCGGGTAAAGTAATTACAAATAGAATAAGTGACTAATTTTATCATATTTAATTAAAAAGGTGATTATCTAGAGACCGGATTAGAGGAGGATAACTAGGAGCAACAGGACTTAAGGTAAGTTTCT